GTGCGTCGTCGTCCCCGCGTGTAGTTGTCGTCATCGTCCTCACGTGTTGTTGTTGTCCTCATGTGTCGTTGTCGTTGTCGCGTGCCGCTGGCGCCTGTCGTGGTGAGAACGGGGCATTGGGGTGGTGGGGCATACATACCGTTGGCCCATGACATGGCAATGTCATGGGCGCCGTCCCTTGTTCTTGGCCTGTCCTTCCACGTTGGCATGGGCATCGTTGGTGTGGGCATGAGTGTCGTTGGCATGGGTGCGGGCATCGTTGGCGTGGGCGGCGTTGGAGGGGAGTGGTGAAGGGTGGTGGTGGTGGTGGTGGTGGTGGAAGGGAATGGGATGGTCACGGAAGTGTGACCATGGTGCAAATAGAAGACATGACAATATGGCACGCCCTCAAGTAAGTCACATGACCTCACCCCGCAGACTGAACAAAATCATGAATCATTATTGCAGCTATCACTGACCCACACTATATGTAAATTATAACCTTTCCATTCATTGATCAATAAAATTGTAAGTAATGCTTGTATATTGTATAGTCTATTTTCGCTTTTTTAGTAGTATTCATATAGAATAATAATAATATACTGGAATGACTGGAATCCACTGGACTCCACTGGACTCCACTGGACTCTGACTGGACTCATAGTCCACTGGACTGGGACTGGACTCAGGAAAGTGGCTGGCAGTCCAGTGGGAGTCCACTGGACTGGACTCCAGTGGACTGGGCATTCTGCCAGCCAATCTGGCCTGGTAAGAGGGCCACTGGAATCCACTGGAGTCCATATGGATTACGTGGGGGAGGGTAAAGACCTCCCATCAACCTATACATAGTCAAGGACACCAAAAACTAAATGTCAGAAAAGCAGACTACATACCCTTAAAAGTAGACTATACAAACTTATGAAAAAGCAGACACTACAAACTTTTCTAGTGGATGGCCTAGACAATTATATGTCAATAACTGTAGTCAAGGGTATCAGTAAATTTTTGTAGTCTGTGTCCAACTTTTGTAATATACAATTTGTAGTCTTTTGTGGTCTATGTCTGACTTTTTGTAGTTTCTTTGTAGTCTATTAGTAAACTTTGTAATCTATATCTGACTTTTGTAGTCTATCAGTAATCTTTTGTATTCTCTCAGTGTCAATTTCCCTTTTAGGGTATGCACCTACCTTTTTGGGTGAATTTTCCCACAATATGGTATTTGTAGCTGCTTCTCTTAGCTTTTTAAAGGTGTTGAAATCATGTTGTTTGGTGTTGTTTTCATGGAGAAAAATGCAAAAAGAAGAAAAAAACAGGGCGCTTTTGAAGATCATCTATCTCATATCTCCACAACGGGAACACTTTTGAACATAATTCAAACAGATTCATGAAGCTACATTGCAAGGCTACAACTTTCTTTTTTTGACCATTTTGGGAAGTTGGTCATGTGACCACCCTCCCAAGAGCCCATCATGTATCAACAATGAAATGCCCTGTACATTCTAATGAAATGTGCAATGAAATACACTGGACATTCTAATGAAACCACAATGAAATACCCTGGACATTCCAATGAAACATTCAATGAAATCACAATGAAATACCCTGGACATTCTAATGAAAGCATAATGAAATATCCTGGACATCTCAATGAAATATTCAATGAAAGCGCAATGAAATACCCTGGACATTCTAATGAAATGCACAATAAAAGCACAATGAAATATCCTGGTCATTCTAATGAAATATTCAATGACAGGGCAATGAAATGCTCTGGACAATCTAATGAAAATGAAATGAAATACCCTGGATATTCAAATGAAAGCACAATGAAATATTCAATGAAAGCCCAACGAAATATCCTGGACATTCTAATGAAAGCCTAATGAAATATCCTGGACATCTCAATGAAGTATTCAATGAAAGCGCAATGAAATCACCAGGGCAGAGATATGAGATCAGTAATGAAACCAGTATGAAGACTTATGAAATATATCTCAAAACCTCCCCATAGGTTATGAAAAGCTCAGACAATTACATGAATGAAATCAATAGGACATCCTAATGAAATGCCTCTCATAAACTTTGTGACAGTTCGTATGAATAGCCATGGACCTATGTCCATGTTTAATGATAAATATTGGTCACCACTGGTGCAAACTTGGAATTCTGGTCAAATCAGCAGATACTGCCAATGAACTGATACCCTTCAGCAAACCCTGAGTGGGAAGCTGATGGACAGGCCGCGTAGGACGATGAAGTGGGATAGTGAGGGAACAAGTTGGAGGGGTGAAGTATGACCTTGATCTCTGAAGCTGAAGACTGAAGCATGTGTCTTTCAAGGACGCCAAGAAGGCAATGAGAGGTTCCATAATTCTTGTGTCATGCAACAACTCTGTTTCTCTCTCATCAAATTCAATACAAACGAACCGGACTTGAGGTGTTGCCGCAATCAGCTTCCGCAGGTGCCTCCCGTACTCAACAACGTAGAAGAGGTCGCAAGTTAGCGAGATTTTGTCAAACAGGGGCATGGTGGAAAGGAGGATGATGGCCATACATCCAACAATGTCTTTGATGTAAATGTACCCATTATTATTTCCAATTATATTGGCACGAGCAAGGTATGTGCGTGCAGCATTGGCTCTGAGTCTGCGGTTGAATAAGAGTGCCGGGCTCAATAAGTCGGAATCGGTAAGGTTGCCAAGAATGACATGCAGAAGTTCATTTGGGAGATCAAGAAGAAGGGTGGGACTAGCAGGATCAGGAGAGCAAAATGTGTCAGGCTCTGCATGCAAAGGGGATGCCTGGAAAGAAAAGTTGAGCAAGAGCCGCCGCAGGAAAGGAACAAATACAGACCTGCTTCTGTCTCTTGGCGCGTGGCTGCAAGGATGGTTTGTCAGACCCAATCGCTGATGCATAGCCAGACCTCTGTGAGAACGTGGACTGAGATGATGAATATAGCGATGAGATGTACTTATGTCTGTTTGAGATCTTCTCGAAGAACCGTTACTGCGACATGACAATAGTATCTGAGACACCAACTAAGTCAATGGCGCATCATCCAAGACAACGAGCAAGTCGCACCTTTTCAACAAACGCTGCTGGCAGTGTTACTTGTCCAGACGAAGGAAGACGTATATTAAAAATGAGGTTTAAAATTTGAGGACTGAGGATGGAATTCGTGTATGTAACATGGGTATTTATCTCAGTTGTCCGGAAACTTACAAGACAATAAATTAGAAAGGTTGTTGCAGGAGCGGCCGAAAACTTACTGTGAAATATAGTTGCCCTGAGCACCATGGTGACAATACGAGTCACATCAATGTGACTCACAATAGCTGGAAGCTCTACCCTGCTGATGTGCACAATTAGCCATGGTCAGGTGATCACAGTTCATTGTACTTACTCCACTTCAAAATGGAGACAAGTATCATCTCCATTCACACTTATTGCTTTTGTTTTCTTCAATCATTCTTAGGTGTACCTAACTATTCCACATTTGATTCTGCAAGAGTATCTACAAAGTGTCTATGCGTAGGAAGTACAATTAATAAAAGAATAGAAGGGATTGAGTATCGCGCAGGGGAATAAGGAGGTATTGCATGAAGGTAAGGTAGGAGGAAGAGGGAAGAGGGCGCTTTTCCACTTGACATTGTATATGTACCGACCACTTCAGGGCTATCACTTCAGAACTTTAGAGTTGTCACTTCACAACTTTAGGGTTGTTTCGCTTCAAAACCACACGTGCTTTAGAAAGCGGAAATTACCGACCCCAATTAGCATGCCCTAAAGTCGCACTGCAATCCCGCTCACAAGTCTTATTCTTTTCCCCTTCTCCCACCTTCATCATTGTCACCTCCTTCCCTCACCAGGGCTCCCCCTTTTCGTGTAGCATAGAAATGTAATGTAGAATAGAACATTTTGTACCTTACTATAGATGATCACGATGAGTACAATAAGACAAAAAAAAAAAAAGAGACGTATGGTCGGTGCGGTATGAGCAGGCTAGATGGCACGGAGGTAGCTTTCGGCATAGTGACCCACCCCAGTATATGCGCTGCGTGATCTTTTTTTTTTCTATTGTGTCCTTCTCATTTAATCTCTAGCCCGATACCCTCTCAGCCATCCAATCAAGTCATGAATAACAGCTATATTCCTGCTGTAAGTTCTCGTCTTCGTTCGATTTCATCTGCTAACGCTATATACTGTCCAGTTTGAGTGTCAGCACACACTGGTCAAACATACTAAACCGTTGAACACTTTGAAATTAAACAAGGATGCTACGATGCTCCTCAGTGGTGGTATGTGTCCTCATCAATCCCCCGTCCCTGCATCGTTGACCCTGGGATAGCAGATGACGGATTGTTACTCATCTGGAATATCCTCAACAGGAGTCTCGAACAAACCATCTCCGTCACTTTCAATGGACCTGTCTCTGCTGCTTTCTGGACCCCAATCTCGCCAAACCGCCCCAGCACTACTTTCACATTCGGTTGTGCTGATGGAACAATGTTTGCTTACCATCAAACCCAGGAAGACATAAGTTTCTCCTTTTTCTTCTCATTATCCTATTAATTATTGATGCAGGAACCTTACCGCACTACATGTTTAGTTCCAGCCCACGAGGGTCATATTGAAACCCTTGCCTTCAATACCCATCACCGCCGCATTGCATCTGCTGGTAGCAGCTGCGCTAAAGTATGGCAGTTGGATATGGAAGGTCAGAATTTCCCCCCTCTTTTATCTTATTATGCTAATCCTGCTGCGAAGGACATTTCAAACTCATTCATACCCTCGATTCTGACCCATTCATCATTTGAAATGTCTCCTTCCATGACAGAGGCTCAAACCTTCTGATATGTTATTTGGAGTCACACCAAGTGTATGCAAGCGTTTGACATCATCTAAGCTGTGTATTTAAAATACTTGGCAGGCTCTGCATGAAGATCGAAAACTGGGTGAAGGAGTGGTGCCACAGTCTGCCCACGAGAATGTACACCCAACTTCTATTTCTTTTCCAGCCTACCCTACTAAATAGAAATGTTAGCAGGCATGCTACCATTTCTGGTGACAGTGGGACATTGATTGTCTCAAACCTCATTGATGGTGTGGATACATATGTGATCCCCCCTCAGGAGCTGCTTCGCTCGTTTCGGCATCCCATCAACTCCAACGTTCCATTGCTCGTTTCCTCGGTAATGGATTCTTCTTTGATTGTAGTGGGGAGTGATGATGGCTGTCTGCGGATCTATGACCACCACACAGGTCATCTGTCAATGTCGTTACCTCACAGGAAAGGTATGTTTTCTCCGCCGTGTTCTTGTTCTTCAACTTACTATGTGGTAGGTTTGGTCCAAATTGTTGATGTACAAGATCTTGTTCACTTCTCCCATTTGTCTTAACTGAATTCCATTAGGCAATATCGGACAACAGAAAATCTATTATTGTAACAGGAACATCTGACACTCATGACATTGCGATTAAAATCTGGGCACCGATCAAGGTATCCCATCCGGATTTTATCAGCCACACCACCCCGCTAAGCCCCTGTTAGGAAATCGCAGAAGATGCCCAAAATACCCCACCGCCACCCGTCTACTCAGCAGGATTATCCTTCTGGCAGATTGTTTGCATTATCTTAGTCTGTTGCAGTGTTCAAGCTATTCTTCTCAACCTCCCATTTGACAGAATTTCTGACCTTATACAGAATTGCCTCAAACTTAGACCTCATTTCCATCATTAGTTCATTGTATCATTAATTTGTGTAGTTTGATTGTATTTGAAATTGTCACGTGAGCTTTTTCGCAACGGCCCTAAAGTCAACATGTGAAAAGTAATTTCGAAGCGGCGGTGCACACTTTCCGAACTTCATACAAGTACGACTAGCCAGTATCGCGAATGTCAGATGTAAAGACTCATATTTAGTTGAAAGTAATTAGTAATGATCTTATGAATATGAACAGCAGGAGAGACCACGACCCGAGAATCGCTCACAGAAAGGCCAACGAAACGTAGAAAGCTCCAGGTAGGATTTCCCAACTTTAAGCATAGCTCTATAGATATTAAAAGCAAGGACCTCTAGGATGACGATATCAGCAGATTCATCGATTTTGAGGCTCAAGTTTCAGACAGGGAAGGTGAAGGTGAAGGAGACGAGGAGGATGACCTGGGTATGTAAAAGAGGATTAACATCTGGCGCTGTGCTAACATTAACTTCAAAAGATGATCTGATAGACGATGAAGAGCTGACAATTGGAGATTCGGATTCAACACATAGGCATCTTCTCCGCGAAGCCTTGATCCCAATCAATGACGACGAGTTCTGGGAAGGCTTTTTGCAACATTTGAATTCCGGTGGTCATTGACGAGAACCCAATCCAGGAGATTTGAGACTTGAGTCAGACGATGAGTTGAAATCCAAATTAGCTGTTGATGATGAAGGAAACGGAGGGGAAACCCCTCTATGGAACATAATCGTCAAGGTAAACTACTTCTTTTGCATTTGTCTAGCGCTAACTTGTTTAGCCTGGCTATGAGGAACATACAGTCTTTCGCGTCTTTCGTCGCCTTACTGACACAAGATTTCCTGCCAACTTCGAAGTACGAGCTGTCTTTGGGCAGCCCGCACAACCAGGCAGAGTTTTTTTCGAGGCTTCTTCCTGAGACAATGTCACCAGGCTTTGTCAAGGTCTGCTGAATGTCTTTCCGTCCAAAATTTCCGTGGTGTTGCAAGTCCATCCTTTCTCCTCGACGTCCACATAGTCCCTCGAGTCATATATGAAAAGCCTCAAAAGCGCGGTGATGACAAAGATCCCATAGACAACAAAGACGACAAACACTTTTCAGGCAAATACAATCCCAACCCCGAATTACTGAAAGAGTGTCAGCGCTGGCGCCCCCCTCAAACGTTATTCAACCTGACAATAGCAAAGCACCGGTTTCGAAGGGCGTTTCAGAAGTGAAACTGCTACTCCTTATTCAAGGGAGTTCTGTATGATGAAGATGGATATGCACTTCTACAACAATTGGATACCGACTGGTATGCCCCAGAGGATGCTATACCGACGCCTGAAGAATTTGCGAGATTCAGTGCCTGTTCTGAGATTCCACTTGAGGCAAGGACGGCGACGATGATGAAGATGGCCACCCACGTCTTCCGCCTGGAGGATGCTGTTAAGATTATTGAAGGTGACAAGAAGGGGCTATTTGGACGGATTAGCAAGATCAAGGGGAATGAAGCAGATGTTTTCCTTCCGGAGAACGGACTCACATCGACCTTACCCCTGTCATCGCTTAGAAAAAACATCAAAGTCGGAGATGCAGTACGCGTAACAGCCGGGGTTCACCAGGGGTTCATTGGGTGGGTTGTGAATAAAGACAATGACAAGACAGGAAATGAAGTAAGTACAACTTTTTGAGTTACATTTATCACTGATTTCAGTGTCTAGGTAGGAGTTTCTCCTGGCATCGTTCAGTTTTTTACCCCAGCGTTCCATTATAATGCCACAGCCACTGACTCTAAGCTTCCTTTGATGGCAGCACAAAAGGACGCAATGAAGGGTGACCCAAATAGTCATCTCATCGGAAAGCATGTGACTGTTACCCAAGGCAACTTCAAAAACTATCGAGGCCATATTAAAAGTATGATGGGTGATGGAAGGGTCCTTGTTGAACTCGGGGCGCAACTGCACCGCCCAGAACCTTTCAAGATTTCTTCCCTTCACCTCAAGTATGCTTTTATATACATCATAAAAAAACTTTACTGAACACATTCCTAGCATGGATGCAGGGCTCTTTCCAGTGACTTCCCTTCCCCTGGTGCTGATGGCTGGCCCCTCCTCTGACTATCTCCCCTCGCCCAATACGGCCAACCCAGCATTGAAGAATGTTACCCCCTTACCAATACCATATCCTCACATGCTCCACACGGCACCACCTGAAGTACCAGCAACCCCGCTTCCCAACCCTGGAGATATACCTGCAAGTCCTGCTTGGAATCCCAGCTCATGTACCCCTCGCCCTGGCAATGATGGTGGAAACATCCAAACAACTACATAGCGCTTACTGACGTGATATGTTGCAGCCCCTCCCCCTTACTGGCTCAGGGATGGTTGCTTTGATGGGATGAGACTGAACCTTTGGTTGGTCAACACGGACCCCGATTTTTATGGTGGAAAACACGAAGGGAAGTGCGGCAAATTTTGGGAGGTCATTGGGGACACAGTCAAAATCAAAGTCGGCTTTCTAACATTGGAAGTCCCTTTCAAGTATCTAGTACCAGAAAGACTGGAAATGGCACGTCAAACGGTCACCGCCTTGGATGGCCTGCATAAAGGGCATCAATTCAAGATTCAGTGTTTTAGTCAAGACATCTGCGGATGCTCTGATCTGAAAGCGAAGTCATATAGGAGAAAGATCGATGCCAAAATCCCAACGAAGGACCTTGTAGTAACCCAGGCATGTCTTTTGAGCGGGGCTGAGCAGGGCTATGAGCAGGCATTCACTATTTTAAATATGCATAATGTTGTGGGTGCAATATATACTCCAAAAATTGCATTTGGTGAATTTCAGATTGTGCCGCAGGTTCATAGGTGTCAACTTAATGTGAATGTGGAATTGAAAATGAGTAACTTTTATTGTCTTCTACACTGATTACAAAAGGTCAACAATGAGAACCTCTCCCATAGCTACCAAACATTTTCAGGTTAATCTTTGCAGCAATTGTTCAAATAAGTGTTTGATGTTCTTATTGTTCAGCATTATCGAATTAAGTTGATCAATATGTAACGCATGCTTAATTGTTTTATTATTTTACATGTGTTTAGGATTATGGAGGTACCTTTGTCTCAAGCACAGATTGGACACTGTCTCAAGTGTGATATGCTAATGCATTATCGAATTAAGTTGATCAATATGTAATGCATGCTTAATTGTTTTATTATTTTACATGTGTTTAGGATTATGGAGGTACCTTTGTCTCAAGCACAGATTGGACACTGTCTCAAGTGTGATATGCTAACAGAGATTGGGTAAATTTGTCATTTGAAGGGATTCAACACGGATTGAATTGTGCATAGTGGTATGCGCACGGAATTGGGTTGCTGGTTATTTTGCTGTACGAGTTTTCGTGATTTTTTGTTTGTTAAATGCAACGGTCGAGGAGTCAAGGGATGTTGTTTATATGTTATGGTATCAATTTATACTGTCCATATGGTGAGCATGTCTATCTAAAAAAAAACAAGAGATGCCGATGGCATTTGTATAATACTTATTCAGAGTGAGGGACGGAAGGATGAGGATGTGATACTGAGCATTTTGATTTTGAGCTGGAAGTGGTGGTGGAATTGGGGTTGGAATTGGGTTGTGGGGATAATTTTACTACAGTACGGCTTGTGTCTGTGACTTTTTGATTGTGTTTTCAACGAGGGTTAGTACAATTTGGGAAGTTGAGGGATGTTGCTTTATACAGTGTGAAGGTGTGCGGTATAATGCAATTTATTTATGTTCTGTTCAAAAAGGCAAACATGTGTATTTTCTTTCAACTTTGAAAACATGTACAACCATCTATCTCTCTGTCTGGGAGTCAAACCCAGCTTTTGCACAGATCAATGGCTAGGATGACAGGCACATGTACTAACCAATATACTAACAAAGAGTGATTAGATTTGTCATAAGAACATTGGATTGTGCATAGTGGTCGATTCAGCTTGAGATAAAGAGATACATCTGGATTGAACCGTCCTTCTTTCATACTAGGAACGAGCCAAACCCCAGCTTCTGTGAAATTTTTTCAAATGTATCAAACCATCCTAAAATTCTTTAAGAGATTCAAGATACACCACATAGGGTATTATATCACAGTAACGATCCAACAAGTGGAGAGTAGTGTTTGAAAGTTAGGTTAGTTAACCGGAAAATAACCGGAAAATAACCGGACCTAACCGCAACACTAACCTAACCACGGTTAGGGTTAGTTGATTTCGAAAATGGAATAACCGGTTATTTTGCGGTTAACTAACTGTTAAATAACCGGTTATAACCAGCCCTATTATACACCTTCAAAACGCACTTGAGAACGTCGAAAACGCTTAAAATTTGACTAAGTTACAGTCAAATCTCTAAAATATCATTCAAATGTGTAGACTTTCAAGGATAATTGCATAAATATGTCAATTATTCACCGAATTTAGCGTTCTTGGGCTCGTTTTAAAGCTAGAATATGCAGAAATAATATCTATCAAGATACATATGAGCATATTTGCCTTGTTATAACCGATTCTTTATTTTTCGGTCCTAACCGGTTAGTAACTGCAAATAACCAACCGTAACTGGTTAGTTGCGGTCCGGTTAGGTTATTTTAGGTTTCGGGACAAAGGCTAACCAGTCTCAGTCTCGGTTAGAGCCCCTGGGCACCCAATAACCAGACCTAACTGGACTTTTGAACACTAGTGAAGAGCAAAAATATATGCTATCCAACTTGATCTTCCAAAAATCAGAAGCACAAACCACGACCTCCCAAATTTCGGATCTACTGGTTATCCAATCTGATATTATAAGCGACAAAAACGAGTGAAGAAGTCTTTGACTCTCTGTCCGGGAATTGAACCCAGCTTTCGCGCAGTAATAATCAAGTAATGATGGAAAGCTTGACATCAGTGACAGCGCGTGTACTGACCGACATACCAACAGAGATTGGTTAGACCTCGATTATATCCTGACTTGAAGTCTTGACTATTGAGCGACACCGTGACTCTCAGCTAACGTAGGGGTGGCGTTGAAGCGCCAAGTCAACGGTTTTATCTGGTAAGAAAAGGATCAGAAAATATGTACCGAGTGCAGCGCACACATATGGCAGATTACCAGTAACCAAACACATACCAAAGAAATGATAATAATGATATGTGGAGCATGTTGGCTGAAAATTTAACCTAACGTATGCGCCATCTGCCACACTAGGGCCCGTCAACGTGTCAGCGGCGGGTAACTTAAGCGAACTGCACGTTGACTGGTCACTGCACGTTCAATATGCTTTGTTTGCGCCAATTTGTTTGCGTATGCATCACAGTCAGGTGCATCTTCAACGTCTCCATTCTGTTTGCAAATTGTTTCTGTGGTTTCGTTTCCACTGCCTCGGAGAGTCCAGTGAAACAAAGGGCGTTGGTGTCAAACTTGCTTCTGGGAGTCCAATCGACCTTACCTGCGATTAAAGGGACACTAAGCATCTCTTTGAGCAATCTTTGAGACGACTTCCGCAATGAGTTGCCTGCTGGAGTGTACGTCCGTACTTGGGACTCATGGTCTTGCATTATTCGTGGGCTCCATTAAGGTTTCACAAATCACACGAACAACGGTCATACTTTGACTGGCATACCAGTCTCATATCTGCTGTTCTGCAAAAGAAATGTGAGGTTAGTCATCAATTTGCAACATCCGTCGTTTTTTGAGTGCATTATAGAAATTAAACAGGTCCCTGGTACGTTGGTCCGGCTTAAGCACGCCATTCCTCCCTCCGTATTGACCTCTTGCAAGCACCACATGCAATATTCATCCCAGAGATGAGGGTAGCGTTTGATTCTGGAGCAATGCGAGCATTGGGTCAGTCTGAAAATCAATTAGGCTTATTGCACTCTCTTGCCGTTCCGTGATTTCAGAAGGGGTTCATTAAAAGCGCAGTCCTTTCGTCCTCTTCGTTTCCCCTATTTCCTTGGTACCATACCCCGGAATGTCGAATCAGTTCACCGCACATCCATTTTTTAGGCCGCTCCGAAACGAATCTACGCACTCCTGCCGACTGGAAATGGACCAAAGATGTAATATTTCCACTCTTTTACACAGGCCATAGGGTCCTTCAGTTTGGGGTGTTTGTCTGTTCAGATGAGCCCCATTAGGCATGACTCGAGGCCAGATTTCATCGGTACTCACTGCCATCAACCACTATAATTGGACTATCTTGGTGTCGAGCTCCCACAAGGGGCAAACAGCTTTCGTCGCCAGGTAAAGAGGTGGTAAACAGTAGATAACTATGTTAAATCATTTATTCCACACTTGCAGAAAAAATGAGCAGTTAGATAAAATTATAATTTTCTTGCTTCAGAAATGAGTGATAAAAGTAAAATGTTGTTGCTGGAGTAGGAAGATGAGGGTTAGCCACAGCAAAAATGACGAGGCAACAATTTAATGTCATTGAAGGCTCATTCTGACATGCGGGAACAGGAACAAAGAATTTACATATTTGCAAAGCAACGAGGTGATCTGGCCCGCATAAGAATGTCTAATTCCCTGGCAATTAGTTAAATTCTTTGTTCCAATTCCTCATGTCAGGAACAGGCTTTCAATGACAATAACTTGTCGCCTCATCTTTGTTGCTGTGGCAAAACAGGGTTGATCTTTATCTTCCTACTCTGGCAACAACATTTTCTTTTTATCAATCATTCCTGCAAAGATAATGACCAAGAAAATTTGAATTTTATTTAACTGATCATTTTTTCAACAAATGTGGAATAAAAATTTTGACATAGTTATTTACTATTTATCACCTCTTTACCTGGCGATGAAAGCCGTTTGCCCCTTGTGTCCGGATTGTCGCCAACGCGCCATTGTTCGACATAACGAGACGGCGACAAAGGAAAGCGCGGTCAGGTGACGACTTCCGAGGCCACATCTGACAACGCGTGGGGTGCTATAAAATGTTGTCGTCCTGCTGAGGTCTTTCTTCCACAAACTGCACCGAACATAGTCGCCTTTGACTTGACATACACGACCTCTGCTCAATTTACGCAACTTTTACATTCTTCCTCACAAGTCCTTGTATCTGCAACCTATCTTCGCTATCAATAGCTTCATCCATGTCTTCTGTCATCAACAACAACATGCTCACTGTCTATTACGAGGTATGTGCTTATCTCTCCCAGTTTTTGTATGAGGATATACGTAGAGCGTCACACTCCCCAAAAGGGGATAAGGCTCATCCTCGACACAGTGGCGAGGATGAGAGGACGTGCGACACAGTTGGACACATCCCAATTGGGTGAGGTGACAAACGCGCTGTCACACGTCACCAGTCTCTTCTCATCGTCCACCACGACCATCGACAATTGGCCACGAGGACCCACCACTACAATCGAGGAACGGCGACGACCCCCCACGAACAGCCAGGAGGGCCCACCCCCACCATTGACGAATAGCCACGAGGGCCCACCACCAGGATCGACGGACGACGACGAGTGCCCACTAACGTCCACGGGGCCACCACCAGTATCGACGAATGGCTACGACCGCCCACAACCACGATCGTCGAGCGGCCATGGGTGCCCACCACGACGAACGGCCACGGGGGCTCATCACCACATTCGACAAACAGCCATGGGCGCCAACGACCATGATCCACAAACGGTCAATAGCACCGTCGACGATTCCCCAGTCTGCCCCCATCCTCCACCCCCGCTCTCTCCCCCACAGACCCACCTCGCATAACCCATATTAGTAGGAACAAACGGCACAACTGTTGAGACACCGACCCAACACGACTCAACGCCATCGTCTACGAATCGACACCGACATGTCGAGCCAAACGCCAGTGTGAACAACCAGCTCCGACGTCTCGAACCCAACGCCAACGCGTAACCTCTGTTTTGAGCCCATTACCAGCATATACAACCGAACACTGACATTTTGAGCCCAACGCCAGTGTGTACGACCAACGCCGACCTCTCTAACCCAATGTCGGATGTACGACCCCAACACCAACGTGTAGGGCCGAAAGCTCTGTTTCGAGCCAAACACCAGCGTGTACAGCCCGATGCGAGTGAACGGCAGACGGCGAGGATCAGGTAGGAACCCGCATAGACATCGTAGGGGCCCCTACCGTTCTCGAGGAGGAGGGGCTGTCTCCTAATGTACATAGCCTCCCTTCCTGTATCATAAGTTGTCTATAAAATCTACACTGTTAATTACATGAGTACAGAAATTTTGAACTTAGAATAATTTTTGAACAAATGGTCCACATCGGGGTGTGTTGACAATATTCAATTGTCGACACACTACACATGAATTGGTGACACATTGCACACAAATGTGTCGTTTATTTACCCAATGTGTCGCTTTGTGACCCTATGTGTCGCTGACCCGATTTGGGGAGTGTGTTACTTTTCGTATACACTGCCACAAAACCAAGACCATAGAGCCCCAATACTAATAGAGCCACTTCAAACTTCGGCCTTCTTGCCCATCATCAATCAACTCCATCATGCCTCCCCGCCGTCCAATGTCCGCTCTTCGACGGAAGAGGTTACTTTTCTCCTATGCCCCGGATTGGTGAGTTTGACTTCATATCACATCTACTGTAAGAGCTAACAAGGCCGCAGGATTCTAACCATAGTGCTCGCGTACGACCTTTCCCCTGCTCACTTCAAACATTGTTGGTTGAAATGAACATATAACAGGGCAGCGTTCTTCGCGTTGGACAAGGTGCACGGGTACAGGAGGGTGTTTTCGTTGGAGGATACCTCGTACGTTTACCCTTACTCTTTGCTCCCTCAACGTCATTCTCAGTTATTGCTGCAGGTTACGACACCCGTACGTCCTCTTCTTCCCCTTTGTAAGAGACACGTTAACTGGATCGAATAAACAGGTTCGCAGAAAAAGAACGCGTACCCGTAAGTACCCCC